TTCGGTGGTTGACTTATACACCATTTATAAAGTCAGATGTCTAATTGATTGGGAAATATCGATGCATTATAAAAAAAAGAGATAAATATAACTCTGTATCAATTTGCCTTTACAAATTACCCCTTTCAAAAACTATTTTTTAATATGTTATATGCAATTATTTTTGCATTTTCTCTCATGGTTTTACCTTAATACACAAAAATTTTTTTTTAGAAACAATACTTTAACGTTTGAAAAAAATAAAGAACAAGAAAAGTTAGGAAAATTTATTCAGGACTATTTAAAAAAATATTACACAAGGAAAACTTCTAAAACATACCATAAAGCTACAAATTTAAAGATTCATTCGTGTCGGATTCATTATAGTTAGCAGTGTTGTCATACGAATCCCGCTTTTCAATGTATTCTACTTCACCCTCATTCGCTGAGTCTCACAAAAAATCGTTTTCAATGTCATTCAAAAAATTCGAAGTTCTAAATTTTTTCCTCCAAATATTTTACAATAATACTTGAATCCACATTTTGCCACGCATCTAGTATAATTTGACGCTTGGCGTCTATAGGAATGATAATCTACTTACCGTCTGCAGTCAATTTATACACCTGACATACTAAAATTTGTTAATCTCGTTACCAAAAATGGGAGGTTGGCGTATGAAACAGGACGACTTATACACTGAGATATATGGTAATATTTAATCAGGGAAGAAACAAAATCGCAACCGAAATATGTTCGATCCGTTAAGAAGAAATTAGAGTTAGAAACTTGTAAATCTGTTTGATTGCCGAAGAAAACTTTGAAGGTTTCTCTTATAATCTTCTATCAACTTCTCCTTTTTTCCATCGGTCATCCAACAGGTTTTACTTCTTCCAGTCCTTCTTTCTATATTAGTTATTAATTAGTGTTTTTTTATTTCTTCCCTTTTTAAATATTAATTTGGGGCCCGTTACTTGTATACTTTTTTGTATTCATCTCTGACAAGGACTAAAATAAGGGCAGCCGTTACCGAACTCCCTATAGATAAAATTTTATACAGATGTGCAATAAAAACTATCCTAAAAAAGTTGTGTTATTACCTATGCTGACTCAAATATTACATTAATATTTGAAATGTAAAATTTCCGCGCTCTCGATAGAAATAGTATTTTCCTCCCACAGTAATAAGTATAAAATGTTATCTTTTGGCGATTCCGTATAATGGCAGACGATAAATAAAGGAAACAGCGAACAAGCTATGTTTTCTTAATCAAGAAAAAGAATCCTTTTAACTGGGAACTATTATTATTTATTTAAAACAATTCAACTCTATACTCCACGTCTGGGAACAATATATAACAATCCTTCCAGTGCGTTCCTGGCACGAAGTATGTACATAATTTAAAACAACCTCCCTGGCTAACTCCTTACTTGAAAGTAATTTGTTACGCCAGTGGTGCTCTCCGAACGGGTTACCAAAGTAATCGAATGTTAACTTCGAAGTAATAAATGCAATTTATTACCTGAATTACAGCCCTTTCGTTCTTTAAAACAAATGGAGGGGTTCGTGAGGGAGGGAAGTGTGCTTTAAATAAACGCGAGAGTTCGTTCGCTTTAATATGCGTTCTTCTTGAGAAGTGAGAATTGTGGATAAATTTTTCATGCCTAGCAGACGATATATTTTAATTAGTGGCAAGTTTCAAGGCAGGGTTGTAAAACGAATCGGTCGCGGGAGGACATGAATATTTAAACAGTGCCCTCCAGTGGTTGATGTTTGTAGAATTTAATATTCGAATTAATGGTTTATTAAAGGGGAGAAACTGCTCTCACCATGCGCTGATGGGAGTGTTGTGGGGGGTGAAAGGAAAGTGTGAGACGCTGAATGAAAGAAGCGAGCTTATTGCTGAAAGAATATTTCTCAATAACCTACTTAATTAGAATGGAATTCAAACGGTGTTCATCGTGAAATTCTTTGTATTAAAATGATTCTGTAAAAATGCTTGAAGAATATTGTATTAAAATTATAGCCAAACACATGCTTAAATTTAAGGAATGTAGGGGTAATCTAATAAAGACTTGGTTAGGAAAGGTAATCTTTAAGTACAGCTTTTGTAAAATTGTGTTTATTTTATCTTACTATTTTTCGTTATTAAACAGTATTCAGTGATGTATGTATGATGTAATGTATTCAGTGATGTAATAAAATACTTATTAAATTAATAATCCATATGTATGTGTGACAATGATGTTGCTTTTTAAAGGCATTGCCTAACTCCAATTCGATCTTCAAAACAAAACAGTTTCTGATTTTTGATTATTATTCAAAAACTGAAATTTTTGACGAAACACAACTTCTAAAACATTTGATGAAATTGCTTCTTTAAGCCCGTGTCATCTCAGGGCATTTTGGGAGTTCCCCAACATGCTTTTTTCTCTTCTTCCTATTTTAAAACTGTCAGTTCTGTTCCTAATTTTTCAATGGAGTAAATTAATCTGAGGCTCAAGGCCTAATGGTGCCGATGAAATTCATAACTATAATAAGGAAATATAATGATTACCTTAGTTTAATAAAATGCTGGTTAGCATTTGCCAGGAAACGATTCCATCTAAAGTTAAAACAACTTCATACGTTTTGATTATTTATCTTTTACAGTATTGCATGTCTGTGTATTACTGCAATTAATTAAATTATTTAATATCATATTTAGGTTTAATATATTATATTTAAATTTAATATATTATCTTCTAAATATGCATATTTTTCGTATGCAATCATTGAAAAAAAATGCTTTTTCCCATTCGTAAGTATCTTCTGATCTTGAAGAAATGTTAAAAATTATAAATAATATGTATACATGGTGATAACAAGAAAAAGTTCTTATAATTTATTCGTACTTCTGATACGAATACATATGTCATTTAGGAACCTTTATGGGTAACAGGTGAAATAAAATGTGATGCTTTTTTTCTTCAGTTGAACATATTATTATCATTCAGAGAAATTTTTACAGGTTATATAAAGTTTTCTAAATTTATGACAGAAACTGTTCTCTAGTGATTCATCCTAACTCATAACACATTTTAAAGTTTTATATATAAAAGTGTTTTTCTTTTATGATTCTTTTTCAAAATTTTTTTATTTTTAATAATGCTCTTATCTCTTTCAATAAATAGCTAATGTGAAAATATAAAGCCTACGCCAGTATATTGTGTTCATAACTAAAAAAAAAATAATAATACTAAAAGTAAATCGTAAAATTTTAAGATTGTGCGTTTCTTCTTTTTAAATCAAACATCTCAAATGATATCGTCTGCGTAAATCATCCCTATGCACAAAATGCTCATATGAAAAAGATTACGATTACGAAATGCGGAACAAGTTCGATGAAATGCGTGGCGAATAATAATAATAATCCAAAATAATGCTCCCCCATGCCGTTGCCAATCCGTGAATCGCGAAACATTCCGAAAAGATTATTCGAAAGAGCAGCGCAAACCCCATTACATTCGGCAGAATCAATGACAGATGGCCTAGTGTGATACACCATTATATCTCCTTTCCATTTCTAAAAATCGCTTGCTTTTAGCCATTATTCGAAACTATTGGTTTCTTAAGCCCCCTGCCGCTTCCGTATTCGAATGGAGAAGGTAAGGAAGACCATTATGCATTCCTTTCTGCAGCACCCGAAACTTAAGTTGTTTCTTCTTATTTTTCTAACTCCCCTTTTCACCCGGCTCGCTTGCATTTTCTCCAGAAAATCTCGAGTCGAGGGATCTGGCAACTGCTCTGCAATAATGACGTCACATCGCTCCCTGCGCTTCTAATGAGAATTTAAGTCTCGTTCTTCTGTCTATCAATTGTGTTCGATAGCCTTTTTACTTTATACATAACTTCCTGCGAGCAGAGGGATTTAAAAGTATTTTAGAACAGGCCGTAAAATAAATAAATAAATAAAAACTCGACGATCGCTTTTTAGGAAAGGGAAGAATAAATATTAAAAAAAAAAAATTATTTTTGAATAGCGACATCTTCTATGATGATGAAAGAGGTGAAAGCAACGGGTGGTAATATCTCTTAGTAATGAACCCATAAAATTTATTTAAAAAAAATTTATGTACAATAAGCGCTAGTGTGCTTAAGAAATCACTCTTTAATTTATTCTTTTATTCACAAATAATTCTGAATTATGCTAATTTATGTACAACAGCCGAGTTATAATTTGATTGATAATTTATGCTTAATTTTGTCAAGAAAACATTGACTTTTTATCGTGACATTAATCATATTTTCGAATCATTAAAAGTATATGTTAAAGCTTTGTTGTTTGTAAAAATGAGATTGTAAGTCCTAAGTGACTATGATAAAATTTCATTTTGGAATTCTAGGGAAATATTTTTATTAGCCTTTTCTTTCCTAAAATTATGTGTTATATTTAATATAAAAGTGGTTTAAAAAATTATGTTAAAATAGTTTGTATTGTTTGAAAAGTGCTGTACTTGTTTGGGGTGCAAAATACATCTAGTCGCAGAATTATTAATGGGGTAATTAGAGCAAAGCTAATCAGACATAAAATTATGCCGGAATGTTTCTCAGAATGGAAGGAATGTACGCAGTATTGTTCCATTGCCTATAGTATACCTGAGCTCAAGGTTGCTGAGAATAGACAATTTAAAAAAAATACGACTAATTATCTAAAATATGAAACGAGATGTACTTTTGTGTGCATTTACATTTCCCAAATAAAGGTACAACGTTTTCTACTACCAATAAAAACCGTTTCCACAGTAGATGTCGCAAACTTGTTTACTGTATAGGGTTTTTCTTTGACAGTATCTTAAAATAATTGGACTTTATCGGCCTTTGTTCTGCCACTTTCCAAATGCATACAATTAAGCTTTTTCGTTTTTTTTAGCCAGGCGGACCGTAATGTTTCGTATTTTTAAATTAAGTCTATGACAGTTTTTGAATTATTGCTATTGGATCTGTTTCAAAAGATATTAACCCGTGTTTTTTTCTTTTCAGGTTTGGTTCAAAAATCGTAGAGCGAAATGGAGAAAACGAGAGCGAAACGCTGCTGCAGAACTTAAAAATGGCTTCAGCACCCAATTCAACGGCTTAATGCAACCTTTTGACGATACCCTTTACTCTGGGTACTCAACCTACAATAACTGGGCAGCCAAAGTCCCCTCCCCACTTGGAGCCAAGAGCTTTCCTTGGCCTGGACTCAACTCTGTGAATGTCAATCCCCTGGTGACACCAAGCCAAGGAATGAGTTGCTTTAATGCTTCCTCTCCCCAAGGCATTACGAGTTCAAGCATAATGCCTAGTGTTAGCATGCCTGTGAACAGCCTAAGCAATCCTGCACCTCCTTGTCCTTATGCAACGCCAACACCACCTTATGTTTATCGTGAACAATGTTCCACGATGACTTCTAGTATAGCGACTTTGCGGTTAAAAGCGAAGCAGCACACTGCACATGGTTTTGGATCTTACGCGCCCATGTCACCCCGCCAAACGCCAACACTGTCGCCATGTCAATACGCGACAGTTGACAGACCGACAGTGTAATGGTAAAACGCAAATTCATTAGACGTTTAGAGGACAAAGCTCACATGGACATAGAGCTAATATTATATTTGCACAGACCGACTGTTCAGTTGACTTGAATCTACTCTTTGTGACAATCCAAAATTTGTTCTAATCTGCTTTCATCAGACATTATCCAGAGATGAGTTTTTCATGGTTTCTTCAAGTCAAAATATCATAAGAATTTCTAACTAATAATGAAAATCAAATATGAACTGAATTCTTCGAAGTCCCTCTGAATATTGCATGTTCCTCAGTTCGTATTTCAATACATTTCGTATATGTTTTCCCTAAACCAAATTCTTCAAGTTCAAATGTTCAAAATTCTTCAGGAGTTTCTTCACTGGAATATTGGTACTTGACTAAGTCTATCCAAAATGACTAGGGTCAGCATTATGAATGTGGAACAAATATTTTGCTACATTGGTGCACTCGATTTGTATTATTCTAAAATATTAATTTGAGATTTCACATGAAACTGTGATATAGTGTACATTACCATGCGAACGTTTTACTATTTATTGCTTATTTAGTTGCCATATTGTGCGTGTTTTTATTCTATAAACATCAAAATTAATTTCTTCCGAAATCAAGAATAAATCATAAGATTTATATTACAACAATAATGAAGAATTTTCAAACTTTATCAAAAGTTAAACGCATGCAATTAATCAATGTCGTTTTGTGCCCAATCTATCAATATGAAAATATATTTTGTTCTTCTTCTAAAACTAACATTTACGTTCAACATCTAACGTTTGGGGAAAAAATATTAAAAAATATTTTTAAGCATCGAATTTAAACAAATGGTTCAAATTAAATTAATGAAAAATGTGAAATATTTATTTCGGCAATCTGCAGTCTTTATCTTAATTATAAAGATTTTACTTATGGATAAAAAAGCACAATATCGTATGGATTATAATACTTGTTTTCATATTTATTGGATAATTGATGAAATACTTCCTTAATACCTAACCCAGGTATATACAGAAATATGTTTTAGATGCATGATAAAATATATTTTATATCCTGTTAAAGGTTTAATAGCAAAACAGGAATACATTTCTTTCAGTCGTTCAAGTGTTTGAGAATTGTATTCTTTTGATTTCAAAGTTTAATCTTTAACTCTCAGTCAATTGTGACATATAACCAAGATTCAATTACTTAGTTTAATTTTAACACTCACAAGATATAATTATTTAGTTTAATTTAATTGGGAATCTCTATTCAATTAAGTGTAAATGAAAAATTTTTGGTTAAGCCCCTGAAACATTTCACTCATTACAAGTTTCAAAGGTTCTATTATTTACTTAAGGAATATTTGAATAAGGTATACTATGACGCAACACTTGTCATCAGCTCTTGACAACAGCTACTAAATGCTGCATTTAAATAGTTACAAAGAAAGAGTTTACAAAAAATCAAAATGTTAGGACAATTAGTATAATTTTGAAAATCTGATTCAGAAATGCAAAATCAAAATAATTATGTAACTATTGTGTCATATATAAATTAAAGTTGCAATTTAATTTATGTATACCGCAATATTGAAATCATATGTAGCACAATTTAAATTAAATATGCCATTTTTTGTTTCCTGACACAATTGTTTCCAGCATGCAAAAAATAAAACAAGATAGTTTAAGGAATGAAATATTTTGCTAAATTACTATTTGAATACTGTAAAGTGATAACATATCAAATATGTGGATTTAATACAGAAATACGCAGTTGAAAACCTACTTTTATAGATAATTATAAACATTAATTATACTAATAAAAATCAAAAGGAAATCCTATAAGATTTGGTATAAATGATTTTTTGTAAATCACTTATACCAATAGTGTAAAATTTAATATTTGGTTTGTAAATAAGCATAAGACGAACTCTTACAAATAAATTTTTTCAGCCTCCTTTATTTCGCTAATTTGAAATATTCTATGAATTATCGGCATGATTAGCATATAAGAAGAAATATGCAAGAGGAATAAGAATTAGTGAAATGTTTTAAAATCACTAAATTACAATTTTTTACACACAAGTAACAATCACTTAATAAATGTATGTGTCCCTTACAATTTTTGTGTTTGTAAATATAATTGAAAGGTTCTTTTTATTGCGGAGAGTTGACTGTTTGTGTGGCTCTTTATAATCTTTTTATTAAATTAAAAACTATGCTAGTTTTTGATTTATGTTTTTAAACATTCACCTTTTGGCACGCAACATACTGGTCCTATTTCTGTAGAAGTTTTTGTGAATTTGTTTTTTAATTAACGCGCAGAAGAAAAAGAATGATTTTCTGCAAATTAAATATATAAGAAGTTATTTAAAATTAAAAATACAATTCACAGTTTCCTATTTTTCAAAATTACTTTATATTTATTTTTAGTGCAATTCTTATTTTCCTCATTAGTTATATAATTTATTATAAATATCTAGTCATGATGTGCAATGGCTAAGCGAGAGACGAGAAGTAAATAAGAATTTTAAAAAATGTGTAAATTGTTGACAAATTTTAATTTTTAATGAAGAAGAGATTTTTTTAGATATTTTAGTTTTAGTTTTATTAAATTATTAATAACGGTTATTAATAATTTCTGCTATTTTCTCTCGTAATACAAAAAAATTTGTTCATTGAAAAATTCAAGGAAATTGTTCTGTAAATTGAAAAATCTAACTAGTAATGATATTTTTTTAGCAAGCAATAAAGTGTTAAAAATAGTTTTTTTTCCTCTTTTGTGTGCTTATGAACAATTTATATCGATTATATTCAGTTTCCTGACTCAGAAAAAATGTCAGTAAAATGTATCAGATATTTTAAATTATGGATTATTTATACAATTTGTAGTTTAATACAGCCTATTAGCGTATAATTTAACTCATTTTTATTTGATGGAATGAAGTATGTTTCTTCTATCTCAATTCTATTCAGAAATAATCTTTTTTATTGAATAAATGAGAAAAAAATAACAATTTTAGTACAAATCTCTAAAAGCAATTTTTCAGAACAAATTTTTTTGCGGTTTTTCATTTTAACTAGTTTAAAAGAAACTGAAATTATTTTTCCGTAATAAACATTAATGTGCTTTATTTTTGCATTACGTTTGACACTATGTATTCAAGTTACATATCATACTTTATTTATTTATAGAAAATTATGTGAATATATTTTTTAATTTCTTGCCAAAGATTTTTGTTGTTGTTAAAAAGAAACCTGTACAAATGAAAATGTAACGTTCTAGTTATTTCTTGTGTGCATAAAAAATAAAATATTCAAATGAAATTCCGTTTTTTTTTATTAGTGTTTAGTTTCGAATTTAAGACTCACTATTTATCTATCACCATATGTCATCACTGCAAAAAATCAATCAGAAAATGTATTATTATTATAATACTTATGCTTTTAGCATTATTATTGTGATATAATTATATTCTGCTTTAAAAATTACAATTATTTAAGGAAAGGGGTGAAACATTATGAGAGATTTTATTAATGGCAAATTTTTACAATTTTTTATGTAATTAGAAAGTTTATCCTAATTATCCTGCTTGTCCTAATTAGTAAGTAAACTGTGACCCATTTTTGTGCATCTGAACACCAAAAATGGTGGTAACGACTACTTTACACCAAAGTGGTGTTTCACTAAGTGCTCCACTGCACCAAAACCGATGATAGTTTCTGGTGTAATGAAATATAAAATGTTTCTTTACACTACTTGGTGAACAGTAGCGTCTGCTTGTTTCTTACTCAGTAACACTAAAATTCATAAATACAGTAAGATATAATACACATAAGAATCATTAAAGCTACATTTACGATGTAATATAAAGCAAGAATTATAAATTTGGAATGCATATGTACAATTAACCGTAATTAATATTCTTAATTATTTAGTAAAGAGGATTTAATTTTATCTTATATCCGCCGTTGATCAATTGATCAATTTTGAGTTTACTCCGTATGTAACCAATGTTCAACTCCGTAGCCTTGTAATTTTGATCCTAATCCAGAAAAAAAGAGAACTACCGGATCAAGTATTAGGAGAAATTCTTGGAGGATTTTTTTGATGGAACTAACCTCCATTTGCTTTACTTGAAGAGGGAAGCCTCGAAAACCTCCCATGGTTAACCCGACGTCATGGGGATTCTAACTCCTGATCCGTCTATCACTGAGGATATTTTACGCCATCACTGTAGCCAGTACAAGCCGGATGAGGAATTTGTATCGAGCAGCCATTTTCAGGATTCGAACCCGGGTCACCGCGTTGGGAGGCCAGAGCAACCACGGCTTAGATTTACTCGTTATGACCAGTTTGTCTATTGACCAGTTTGTCTACAAGACCAGTTTGTATACAAGATGAGATTCACCAGTCGTATAAACAAACCGTGATCTTGTCCACTATATTGTTAATAGCTTAAAATTGCACAATTATTCGTCTTAAGACTGATAATAATGGTCCAAAAGCATTTATTTTGCTTTTAAAACAAGCCCTGCCACCATTTCACTAAAAAAATGAAGTCAATAATTTAAGAGAAAATGGATAATAAGAGAGAAGGAAAGAGAAAAAGACAGAGGAAAGGTAAGAGAGAGAGAAGGCAGTTAACATCGTAATCCGTAACTACAATCGTGAAGTGGTTAATAGTAATGAAAATAAGGGTCTCTTTCTGTCCATCTACCTCTATAGCTACTTTTGGTTGACATCTACTCGAGCACGAGCTTACAAAATATAGAAATAAAGATATCGCAGGGAAAAAATAATTTTTCTACAGCAAAAGAAAATTAGTCAATATTTAAAGCCAAAAAGCTGAAAATATAATAGGAAAAGGCATTAAAATTTGCGATAACTTTCGAACAAATAAGAATTTTTTGAAAGAAACTCTCGTTAAAATTATGATACGAAATGGAACTATCAGCTCCTTAAAATTCAACTCTGTTGTTGCATTTTAGTGGACAGTAGATCGAGCAAAATGGTTTTTTACTATAAATTTAACAGTTAATAATTCTCGAACTCGTTGTCAAATAGGAAATTTCCTTCTGTCGTCATACTCCTTATACTTCTTTTTATTCACCTTTGTAATTTTAAGTTTTTAAGTCTTATAGATTATGAGCAGTAAACCAAAATGTAACACAAAAAAGCACTTAAAATTACAGTAATTTTCGAACAAATTAAAATTTCGATAAAAATTCTGTGTTAAGTTTATGAGCGAATATAGCTTTTTCAGCATGCCAAATTTCAGCTCTGTTCTGCTGCCATCAGAGTAGCTTGTGCGGCATTTTTTTCAATAAATTTAACAGTTATTCTCGAACAAATTATCGAATGTTAAATTTCTTTTATTCCAACATAATCCCCGTATACTTTTCGACACATCTTAGTAATTTCAAGTTTTTATGTTATAGTCTTTACGTAGTAAAATACAATGTAACGTAAAGTTTAACACCCAAACGACCAACGATGGTTCTTACAATTTTTGAATATAGGGAGAAAATTTATTTTTCAAATATTATATTACTGAACTCAGAGGAATTGTAAAACTCAAGAAGCGATTGACAATGATGTTGTCGACAACATCATTGTCAATAATATACAGTCAACAAATACATCAATACGTTTTTAAAAATTTAAGAACAATCTTTGTGTTTTTTTAATATTTTTCCTAGAAACTGCACCCATTTCACGGTTGATTTCACATATTATTTATTAAAATTAAAAATTCGTGCATTTAAGGGTTAAGAGGTTTTAAATTGCTTTACGACGCAAATGCCATCTAATATCCACCTGCGGTAATAATATAATAATATCTTTAGTGCTAATAGCTCTAAAGGAAATAAAAATAGAAGGATATTACCACCGATAATCTAAGTAGTATGAATAAGTTTACTACCATGGAGAAAATGTCTGCTCATTAGATATTTCTTTCAATTGTAGATTAAAACTACTCAATATAACTAATCACATTCTTTTTTGGTATTTGTTTTCGAAAAATTTGTGTTTTTTAGAATAACAACGTTAAAATACTTAGTTTCGTACAAGTATAAAGCAGCAAAGGGAATATGACCTCTTCTTGTTTTTTAACTTAGGATTAAAAAAACATTATTTTCATCAGTTAATTAAATTTATATGAAATAAATACAAGATTATTTGATTTCTAAGCTGTTATTACAGTATAGCCCAAATAAAATATCTGTTTCTGTAAAAATGAATTGCTTTTGAGTTTCTAAACAAAATTACTGGGTTTAATTCCCCCCCCCCCTTGTATAACAGCTAATTACTATTAAAGGATTAAAGATTAGATTTGAAACAATGGACATCTTATAGAGCACTCTTTGTCTTTCTACACTGTGCCGACTTTGGGACACCCTGGAGTTGGGACAAGATTTAATCAATTTTTTAATGTATTTTTTCAGTTTTTACTCATTCAATTGAAGCACGATCTTAATTTTGTTCTTTCAATTGAAAAAAGCCCGTGATGAACAAGTATGGATAATTGGGAGATTGCGCAAATTAATGTTAGATTCCGAAATCAAGATTCGATGCATCTGCGCACGCTCGCTTTTTTTTTAGATCCTACGTATCTTTACTTTTTGGCGTAATTTTACAAAGCTACAAGCATGCTTTTCAAAGCTATTGAATGTTGTTTTCTGTTTAAGAATACTTTTATTTTACAACATGGAGATGCTATCGATACATTAAGAAGAACACTGACACAAAATGAAGATGCAAGATAAGTTATTACAAAATGTTAAAATGAATCATGTACTATTGCAACAATCGGTTGGTTTAGTAAAAAAAAATTTTTTTTATTAGTTTCAGTTTAAAATTATGTTTATCTAATTGCACTCGACCAAAAAAAAACAAACTAATTATGATTTTCGTTATTTAAATATGGATAAAATATTTACTTTAATCATACAATTTCAACTTGTTTTGATTTTGTGGGTGAAATTAGATGATATTCCTCTAAGTTAGCATCTTTAACTTACGGATTTCTGCAAAATCTTATATTTTCATTTAAATTTGATATTTTTTCACAGACGCATATGCAATTATTTCACATCTTATGTACTAGAGCGCTCGAAATGTATTGTAAAAAAGAGAAACTTAACAACTGTCGAAACATAACTCATACGTAACCATAACTTATACGTAAATGCACTGTTTTATAAGTGAATTAACAAAATTCGACGTTTTATGTTATTTATTTATTTTTTAATTTTTTTTTAGAACGTGAACAAAAGCATATTGTAAATATTTTAAAAATGTTCTTGTACAAATGTAAAAAAACCTATTGACACTCATTTTAAATATGTTATTCAGATTGAATAGCTATTCACTATTTTATTATAAAACAAAATTGCAAATAAAAGTATTATTAAATTTAATTAATTTTAAAAATAATATTTTTTTAACAATCTAATATCTTCTTTCTACCTATATAAAATTTTATTACGCAAATAAAATTAATTTTCAAACCCCCAAGGAAAAAAAAAACTATTCAAAAGGTTAAATAATTCCGTAATTTACTTATTTTAAAATAAAGACG